AGGTGAACACCCGAAAACCGGATGCTGCGAACTCCGTTCGCCCTGGTCTCCTGACCTCCTGCAGACCGACAAACGAAATGCCCTGTTTCGCTGCCTCGTGTAAGACGCTGTCGGCTCTCCCATAGCCGTTGGCCCCGTTCACGGCCAGTGTACGCACATTGTAGGTTGCTACCCTAACAAGTCGACCCTGCCGCCTCTGCCGGGCGGTGCGTGCTGCATCCCTAATCAGCCTACGCACCTTCCGGCCCCTCCTCCTCTTCTTCCTTCCTTTTTTTATTTTCTTTATTTTTATTGCTCTGCGGATCCTCGGGTTAATGTAAGAGTTAACCCGGTGCTTGCCTTTCCCAGCGAGGTGTCTTCCTGTCCCGGAGCGGCGTGGCTCTCCAGCTCTGGACCCTTTCCGTCCCCCTGTTGGGTGCTTACCCACACGGTGTGCGATCATCCCGCCACCCTCTCCGTGCTCTCCACCGCTGCCTTGCCCCGGTGTCCAAACCGGGGCATTTGGGTTCAAACCCATCGGCAGCTGTCTCCAAGTTGGCTTATCACGACCTACCTCGATCTCGTGACCGCGGTAACTCCCGACCGCCAAACTCAGGATCCTCTCCTACACGGTGCTAGGGACCGTATATCCGTCGTTGTTGGGTGGTTTTTTCGAGGGTTAACTGCACTTGCGGGCCTCGGCCTCCCCCGGGGAGGGGAGGAGGGGGGAGGCGGAGAGAGAGAAGGGAGAGTATTATTAGCTCTAAAAAAGAAAGATTGGGAGCCCGTGGTCTCAAAACCCGGCATACACGACCCCACGAAGAAACAGAAAAAAATAGGGTACAAAAACCACTCGGAAGAGAAACAAAATGATAGAAAGACCAGCTACCGCACCAAACGAGAAAGAGCGTCGAGGAGACCGATCAAAATAAAATAAAAGGAGAACGGGGAACGGTACACCCCCTTGGTTCAATCTTGGTATTTTACGACGCAAGCAGAAACAAGGCCATCTGGCCCAGAAAAAGAGAGAAAAAGAGAACAAGAGAAATAGAGAAGAAAATAATAGGAAACAGCAAGGAAAGAGAAATTGAAATGAAAGAGCGAGGACAAAAAGGGACCAGGCCGAAAATAACAAGAAATAAGGGACAGAAAAAGGCACACGGTGGAGAGACCACTAACGACAAGCAAACACGCAAACATGGCCACCAACCAGCGATACATTGTAATGGTGCGTCATCACTAGTGGGGTGTTGGTGCAATGGTGCAGCGTTGGGGGGCGGGGAATTGGCGAAAAGAAATTTAATCCGGCACGTATCGCGCCACTCGGTCCGTCTCTTCTCGTTTGCTCTTTTCCCTCGCCGTCTCATCCGTCTCCTGCCCCCCTCCCGCCCCATTGGTCGGTGGCTTGTGGTCTCGTTTGAGCGCCCGTTGTCGGCTGGCCTCTTCTTCCTTCTCGTGCCAGGAGGTCATGAACCTCGCTTATGGCACTGCCGTACCCAGCAGTGAACGGATTCCTGCGCTGCGGTCGCTTGCGAAGTTTGTTTGGTGCTTTTTTTCTTGAGAACCCCGCCGTTAAATAAGACGCCAGACCTACCGTGATGGTTGACAACGCTGGCAATCCCCACCGTATACAAAGTCTACTTTAGGCTTGAGATGGAGTACAGTCGTCCCCGCTTTAAAGACGCTCATCTTAAGTCAACTCCCCGCGATAAAGACGAAAAAAAATTCCGAACCATGGTGCCCGGCAGATATACAATACGAGGGGGGAGGTGTACTTTATATACTGCGGGGCCCCCCAGAAAATCGTGCAGCACACCTGTAGAACTGCACAGAGAGCGGTCTGCCACTGCTGATGCTGCTGCTGCAACCGCTACTGCGTGGATATGGATAGATTCCTTTCGTCTGCTGACGGTCCGTCTGCCGCCCACACGACAACGTGTGGTGAGCCAACATGCAAGATGAAGTCTCGCCTGGTCTCAGCGATTCACCAGTGCCCTTGCGGGCGAGCCATGCATGCGTTTTGTGGTGTGGGCATCGGAGAGGAAGGCTACGGGCAGCAGAGAATGTGCACTGATTGCCAGAGGAGAACCCTAACCTAAAAACAACACAGCAGGCAGCAGTCGCCACACAACCGAGAGAGTGCACTGCAGTCATAACAAAACTATATCCCGCAACAACCCACATGTCGGGAGCATATTATTGCGGGCGGTGGCGCGGTAACTTAAACATGGTTTATAATATGTAAATATATGTATATAGTGCATTCCACTTTCAACCACGGCTACGTTGTGAGCGGTCAGATTTATGGATCCTCGTTTCGTTATAAGTTACGTGTTGCAACGGCGCGTCTTTTGATGTATGTTATGCCTCCATCGGCCCCGGGGGTGGTGCGTTATCGTCCCCGGAATCTTAAAGACGATTCCCCGCGTTAAAGACGCTTTGAAGAAAAAAAACGCTATGCGTCTTTAAAGCGGGGACGACTGTATTGAGTCTATCGCTCGTTGTGTGTTGAACTAGTCTACCCTGCTCGTACATACATTTCGAAATCTTAGATCTTCACGACAGCGGCGCATCTCAACGACGGAGGGCTAACCTGTCTGCAGGGGACACAACACGTGTATATTCATGCTTTTTATTATAGGAACGATCGATGTGATGATGATGCGTACCACACCACGTTGTTGTTGTTGTTGTTTCTGACATTAGACCACTGTTTATGGCAAAAAAATCTTGATCTTACTTTCTTTGGACAAATGTTGACTTTTTCGACCTTTTGGGCAGTCTGCCTCCCGAACGAGTGCGAATCAGCTGTTCGACCTTTGAGAACAGTCACAGCTTTTGGCTAAGATGTCTACAGATCGCCTACATGTTTCGCCAGGGTCCACGTTTGATTTTTTTCCAGCAGAGCAAGATGTTGGGCCAAGATCTGTCCAAAAGCTGGTGTTGGAAAAACTCTTGCGTGAAAATTGCGCACCTTGAAAAAATCAAACCTGGGCCCTGGCGAAAATGTAGGCGATCTGTAGACATCTCAGCCAAAGCTGTGACTGTTCTCAAAGGTCGAACAGCTGATTCGCATCCGCTCGGGAGGCAGACTGCCCACAAGGTCGAGAAACCAACATTTGTCCAAAGAATGGACGTTCAAGATTTTTTTGCCGTGAACAGTGGTCTTAGCCCTATTATAGTTCATGAAAATGGGGACCCCGTGGTCTCAAAACCCGGCACATGCGACGTCCCGGGGAAACAAAACAAAAATAGGGTACAAACCACTCGGAAAAAGAGCCTGTTACCCACAGCGGAGTTATCGTTGTATGCTGTCTGGGAAACCGTAGACATACAGGTAGCCTTTCGCTCACGCTATGGATTTCATTGCTAATCTATCTTAGACTTATTTCTAAAGATAGAGATGGATTTGTTGTGTGATATTAGAAGAAAAAGAAAAATGAAAAAAGAAAATAACAGCTACCGCACCGACCGTCCCAGAAAAGCGCCGTCGGAAACCGATCAAAATAAACCAAAAATAATGGAGGACGCTTCCCACACCCGCCTTAAGAAAAAATCAAAGGGTGACGTACCAGCACCAGGCACTACGCACCAGGGCATGGGAGTAACGGAACAAACAGGACAAAGAGGCGGTAAATGGGCAGACAGCCAGATGTACAAAAACAAAAGAAACAGCAAAAGCGACATCAAGGTACCCAACACAGCAGCGTAGGCAGGGAGGACATGAAAAAAAGAAACACAGCACAGTGGCCGAACGCAATACAAAGGATATACATTAAGGAGTATAGCATTACAAGCAGGGAGGGAAACAGGGCGCAACAACATCAGCCGGGTACATAGGTCACCTCAGGCAGGAACCGCAGGAGGGGGTCCAGCCCCCCCCCTCCTATGTGACCCCGGTTGGGTTGTCTAGCTAGTAGAAGTGGAGGATAGGGGCCAGAGGGGCAGACGATAGAATCCGATGATGGGAGAAGAAAAAAAAAAAGGTCGCCACAAGTGCTGCCTCGGCCGCCCTATTCGCTTCTACAGCAGTGCCTGGTCGCCGTTTCTTCCCCCCCACCGCCGCTTCCCCGACTCTCTTTCTCTTGGGTCCTGAGATGGCCGTACTCTCTGCTTCTGCTCCCTCGCGCGCTGGTGCTTCGCGGACGCTTCCGCCTCCTGCCTGTGCCATTTCCTCATGAGCCATGCCGCCCCGTCCTCGACCTT